TGCTATTTCGAGTAAATATAGAGGCTATATTTGTTGTATCGTGTAGTTTTTCCATTAATAAATTATTCCCAGCTCATCAAACTCTGATGGGTCGTACGTGTTACACTTACATTCCAAATCTCGTATCTTTAATTGTGGCTAAAGATTTTTTGTCCAACAAATAAAGTGACAAATTCAAAAATAAGGAAAATTGTAGTATTCGAATTATTTTGTATCAAAATAGTAAACATTTCAGCAGGGTAATATTAATTATCTTTATTTTTATTTTCTTAAAAATGATTTGGTTGGTTAGTGAAATATTTGCCATGATACATTATTGTAACTAGTAAGAAAAAAACAAATAACAAAGAAGTTAAAATGTAAATATCATGTTAGTCGATTATTCAGGACCACCATTTCACATGTTATTGGATTATTATAAATGGTTAACATTGTACCTGAATTTCCCCTATCTAGAAAATAACAAAATAAAAATAATATATACTCCAATTTAGGTGAATTTACAATATTATTTCTAGGCTGATAAATCATTTTCTTTTGACCCACTAATTTTCCTACTTCTTCAGTAAAGACGAAAAATAAAACTCTGTTGACAGCAAAATATTCTTTATTAAGCTTCAAGAATTTTGAAAAAGAAAAAAAACAATAAGATAATGTTAACTACTTTCTTTTCTATCATGACCCCTCTCCCCTTACTATTTTGTTTTCATTTTATATCATCCAAAAATATATTGTCTTTAGTCATACAATATGTTTTCTTGTGTTCAATATCATGCACAAAATTCTCTCATTTATATTAATTTGAGAAACCACATAATATATCACGGGCCAAATGATATATATTCTCATTAAACCGTGAGATTTGTGATCTTCAAAATAAAAGTACAAATAGATGTAAATATAATTTACATTGACGAGGTATATAATTTAGATTTAAAATATTAACTAATATTTGTGGAAGATGTATAAATAGTTTCACATGTACTCCCTCTGTCTCTTTCTAGTTGTCATGGTTTTCTTTTTTACAATCAAATGATAACATTTTACGATGTATTTTTTCATTATGTTGATATGCAAAAAATGTAATTTATAGTACTTTTCATATAGTTTTTGAATATCTAAATTTTTAATTTAAAATATCGAATTAATGTAATCTAATTTTTGCATCAAATTGACTTTCAGAAAACACAATATGAGGGAGTGTAAATTATTATTAAGTCCTAAAGAAGATATTTAATTACTGGATAAACTTTGTCAAGTTGAACTTGGTAGCCATATGTGGATGAGTTTCTGATAATTTGGTAGGTAGAAAAGATGGAAGTGATGATTATAATGAAATTGATAATTTATGTATCAACCACACACCACATGCACTTTTCCATTTTTTCAGCATTTAATTTCCATACTCCTATAACATAATGAGTAGTGGCAATGAGTTCTAATGTTACATAACCAATTTGGACCAAACCCTACTTTTTTAGAAATTTTATTGTTTTTTCTCTTAACTAATTATTAGCGATCAAGTGTTTATGCAAAATTAATAGATACATAATATATGTTTAAACACGTATATATAATTCACTCACCAATAACGGTCATTAAAATTAAATCAACTAGTTATAAATTGGTTTAATTAATATGATGTAAATATCTAATGCAGATAACACATGTATACTCAGGCCCTGATCAGGGGCAAATCTTAAACAATAAGTTGCGAATATTTCTTTGAACCCCTTAACAAAAAGTTACACTATATATAAGATAATTTTTTTTACGTATACCTTACCTTTCTTTTCACAACTAATTAATCCCAGGCACCTATATATACACAACTACTTTAAGTTACATTAAATTTGTGTCAATCATCAATAAGTGTGGTAGTTATTTATTTTCTCATGCAAGAGAAATAGTCCCTATGTTCTCGAGTCTATTGTTGCGTTCATTTCATGCAAAAGTACAAGTTCTAAAATTAAATGGCCACACAATTTAATATAAATAATTGTTACGCTATCAAGTTAACTCAATATATCATAACAAGTTATTTTCTTTATTTTGTTTGTAAACTTCATATGAATATTATATACTAAGACTGAACTAGACTTTTGAATTTATCAAATTTTGAATAATTTATTTTTAATAACAAATACAAAATATAAACAAAAACTACTGAATTTTGCTAAACCCGTAATTTCGTTCATTCATATCTGTGTCCTTTCTATTCCAATTTGAGAAAAAGAAGTTTCACAAATAATGTGTCCTTTCTTAAAGCAAAGGGAAAACGAATACTCAATATCTAATTATGACGCATGACTTTAATTATCACTTGGAATTGAGTATAGAAGCATCCTCATAATGAAAATTCCCATCCTATTTTTCATATAATTTAAACTTTGCTGTAAAACAAAGTGACAAATTATAAATTAAAGCAAAAGAAAAAGTTAAAAATAGCTTTGAAAAGAACTCTAAAGGAGATTAATGACAAGTATAGTTATATATTCAAAGAGATAAAAAGAAAGTCAAAAAGTTCTTTAATAAGAAACTTGAAACACACATTGAAAAACCAACATCAAATATATTTATTCTTTCTTAAAATATTAAAAATTTAATCAATAAGGATTTCTAAGACGACCCGCCATTCACGGCAGGTAGACAAAAGTCCAATAAAATAGGTATTGGTTTCTGACTTTTCTTTTTACGGATTACAACATATTTAAATGTACACTAATAATCGGGATGAAGCTAGAGTTTTAGTTACAGATTAGACATAACTCAGTAACTTTGATCGAAATTCAATATTTATACTAAGAAATTCACATGTACTTTTCTAGGATTGAAATATCATAAACTCAAAATTCTAAATCTGTATCGGACAAGATATGTATTATTTTAGGTTTTGTTTCTATATCATTTATTGTAGCATATGAGTCTTGCCATCATCTCCAATGGTGCCATGCCCCTATGCAACTTTCACTTACATTACATGTTTGATATGTGGACAAATCAACCCATTGTAGAGAAAGTTGTCTGGGAATGGGGGGTCCCCTCCCAACATTTATTAGTGTACCCATCCACCAAACTATGCTACATTGGCATTCATGAATTTAATTTTACTTCTCTATATCTATTTGCCTTATCCATAAAGAAGCTTGAAGAATCACATTTTTTGATTTTTTTTTAAAAAAGGAACTAATTAATGATTTTTGTCTCATATTGTACTTATTTTGATTTGATTTTAAATATAAATTTGCATCCAATATCCGATATCTGTATTATGAGTTATGACTTAATTATAAAAATTGTCTCTATATTCAAATCTCGAACTTGAACTCGAAACCTCATGACTCAACTATAGAAGTTGAGGGTCTAAACTCGAAACTTATAGTTAAGAGTGGAGACGTACTTATTGGTTAGAAACAATTCTTAGTTTATGTTTTTGATGGATGAAAATGTAGTATAAGGTCTTTTGGTAGGTATGGTTAGGAGGCAGAGTTAGTGGGACGAAAGGGGTTCATCGTTTGAAAATCTTGTTATATATTAAAGTTATAATACGAGAATTAAAATTAACAAAGTGCATAGATACGTTTAAAGGAAGAAAACATAATTTATAGCCATAAAAAAAAAAGCAAAATAAAATAAGGTAAAAAATAGGGATTTTATTCAGATTTTTGAAGCATTAAATGCTTGAGAGTGAAATACTCATGGGAATTGGTGGAGGGAAACAATGGTTGTTGACAAATGTTGGTGGAAATAGTCATTATGTTGATACAAGTCTCTGTCTTTTAAAACAAATAGAGAAATAAGTGAAATAAAAATAAATGAATTTTCTGATAATAAACGATAAAGGAAAAAAAAAAATATGGTTCTAAAAAGTGATGATCATCTTTATTTGGGTGATAAAAAGAAGAAATATTGTGAAATAAAAGCAATAAAATAAAGGGAACATAAAGCAAACAGATAATTGAAAATTGACACCACAAGAATTTAATATTTGTCTCTGTTTCTCTTCTTAATTTTTTGCCAAAACTTTTATTAAGGAAATTCAAAATATAAAAAAATAAAGAAAAGAAGAAATCAAAGATGATTCAACATTTATTATACGTATATAAAAATAATAATTTTAGTCATGTAAAAACAATAGATTATCAACAGAGAGAATTTGAATGAACCCCTCAATCCTACCTAGTTATACCCTTGTTCCCCCTAAGAAGAGGGACTCAACACATAACATTATAACTGAAATCTCTGAATTGTTACTCTCACACTTCAATAGTATCAAAAACATTTTAATATTAATAATAATAAAGTATCAAAAACATGTGAAATCGCAGTTCAAATTTCAACTGAAGCAAAAACTTTAGGTGATTATAAATAATATACAAGTGAGAATAAGCAAGCCACTAATAGACAAGCAAACAATACAAACAGTCATGTTGACAGTTGACCATTAGTATTTGCTTATCCACAGTTATATATTATTAGTGGAAATAAATAGTCATTCATTTATTAATAAAAAAGAGTTATAGTATTTATAAAATAGTCGAGATGTGCATAAACTAATTTAGGCACTGTTATTATGGAAAAAGAAGAAAACACTAAGCTGGTGCATTTTAGGTCCCCAAAGAAGAGTCTACAGTGCAACAGCAAAAAGCACATCTCAGTTTTCTTTAGGAATAAATATTTCAATTTTGGTAGGTATTCATAAGTCATATCTTTGATAAAGTGATATTATTAATCATAATTAAGCATACTACACAGTACTTGGCATGATAATTATTTATGTCAGAAATTACATCTAGAAAAAGATAATTAATCTCTCACTACTAGACTAACTATAGAATTACTCTGATCCAGTCAAATATTATATAGGCGACATAATTATAGGTACAACATTTACTGCACATAGACACTAATTTTATTGATTCATTTTAGCAAATTAAAATAGAACATAAACTCGTAGCCATATATCATTAGATATGTTCCATTATATTATAATTATACATAAAACAGCCAAAAATAAAATCTGTAGTTTAATTAACATTTTTTTCTAATAAAAATATAACTTAGACAAAAAAAAGAAGAAGGATAACAACATCAATCATAATTGGGACACATAACATTTGTTTTGGCTCACTATGGTTATAACTTTTTTGTTTTCAATTTTTGGAACAATTAAGGCATGTTCTCTTCATCTTGAAAATCTTCATTCTCAAAGTTGTTGTTGTTGTACTCATTGTTGCCATAGGTGTTCTTGTTGTTGTACTCATTGTTGCCATAGGTGTTCTTGTTGTTGTACTGTTGGTTCATTGAAGCAAATTCCTTTGCATTTTCATATGGATCCCTGGCATGTCTCCCAGCATTGATATCATAGTAAAATTTCCCATTTCCCAAGAACCTTGTGTCACTCATCCCCTGTTGTTGGTGCACTCTGTAATTACCATTCCCAGTGCTGTAACTCTGTTCTTCATTATTGTTGTAATTTGTGGAGTAGCTCTGTTCCTGATTGTTGTTGTTATTGTTGTAATTGTTTCGGTAATTTGTTGGGTTGGTGTTGTAGCTTTTGGCACTCAATTTTGTTTCAGTCAACTCCTGTTGGGGTTCATAATTGTTGTTATAATATGTATTACCAGCGTTGTAGTTCTCCTCCTCGTTGTTATCATTGTTGTTGTACTGTTGGTTGTTGCTGTAAAAACTGTCACCGCTGTAAAACTGTTGCTGCTGGTTGTTGTGGTTTTTAGTACTGAAATCGCTGACGCCGTGGTAGTACTGTTGCTGCTGGTTGTTGTGGTTTTTAGTACTGAAATCACTGACGCCGTGGTAGTACTGTTGCTGCTGGTTGTTATTATTGTTACTGCGGTAATTGGTGGGACCACTGTAGAATTGGTTGTTATTCAAGTTGGTGGTGGAAGTGGAGGTATCAATATTGTGCTTGGTTGAGATTTCATTGTTGTTGTCATTGAAACTATTTTCATTTGTATTGTCCTCAGCAACAGTTACATAAGAAACAGGGTTATAATTTTTGGGAAGGTATTTGCTGTTGGGAAGATTGTTGACATTGGGATTATTGGTGTTAGTGGTAGTAGTAGTTGTTGTAGAAGGGGTGGAAACAGATTCATGGCCATAAAGGCCATAAGCACCATTTTCATTTTCAGGCATGAAATTTGGCTCTTGCTCTTTGTTAGGAACAACTGTTTGTGTTTCCTTTTCACCATTGTTGCTTGGGACTTTGTTGAAAAATTGACCATCCCTTGCATGAACTTGGAGTGAGGTAAAAAGAGCAAGGAGGAAAATGAGAGAGAAACTTTTAGCAATTGAAGCCATTTTGAATACAAGAGATAATGAGAATTTGTGTTGTGTTAGTTTTCAATGCTTGTGAACTTTGCAATATACTCTCTTTATATAGACACCCTTTATCCCTCTTTTGTGTGTCTACTTTTTTTTTTTTTTTAGTTCAAATTTTCAAATATTTATTTATTTATTTTTGAGTGAGGAGTGACTTTCTATCCCTCCAATTTTCATGCTTATTAGGTGCAAATGGGGACAGGAAAAATGGAAGGATGAAACTGGTCCCCATGCGTAATTATAGCACTTTAACAAAATGGTTCCTAATTTGTATAATCGAAAGATAATTATAAATTATTATTATAGTAAGTAGATCAGTAATCGAAAATAAAATAAAATAAAATTATATATATGGTAACTTGCAGAAAACAATAATTATATGGATTTAACTTTGTTCTTAAGATTTACTCATGCGGCTTGAAAGCGTAATCCTTATGTTTTAGCTAAATAATCGCATTTAATTTATTTTTCTTTCCATATTTTAAAACTCAATTAACTTTTCAAGAACACAACAAAATCAGTAATGATTCTTTGGAATATAACTTTAAGCTTTTAGGGTTTACACAGCTTTTGATGCATATATGGCAAAGGATCCCGAGGTGGTAGGTTCCAATTAAGTAAAATCCAGGCCAAAATTCCCACTACAATAACTCAATTGATGATAATCAAAATAAATGTGTAGATACCAAATAATTTCAATATGGAAGGTACAATATTAAAATTCCTCTATTCTATTGTTAAGACGTAAAGGTTAAAATGATTAAGTGAGACTAACAACATTTTCAAAATTCAATCCAAATTACATTTGTTTATAGTCATTAGATATTCAAAATTCACTAGACCTGATTAATTTTTTTAGAATGAAAGACAAATGATGTGGCTCCTCTACTATTTAAGCAGTAAGTCAAAAGTTTAAGTTACATTTAAATATATCAAAAATTCAGTAATGAGCATTTGAGGTTAATTATGGAATTATTAAAAGAAAGAAAAAAAAGAAAAGGAAAACGAGTGAAGAGATTGAAGGGAAAATTGGATTGGAATTGGAATGAGAAGAGGCGGGGATTGTGGAGTGGCTGTGAAAGGAAAGGAAAGTGTGGTAGGGGAACATTCAAAGTTATGGGATTTCATTGGCACATACACACACCATGTGCATATTCTTTTAATACATTGATAATGTCAATAGGGATACCCCTTTTTTGGTCTTATGCTTAAGTTTTCCTACTACTCTATTTGCATACTAATTCACCTGGCGTTTGATATCCACGTTAGAGTTCGAATAGACAAAAGTGACTCTATACCTAGAGAGACTTGAGTTTGAGATCTCTTGTTAAGGATGAATGAGTACTTATCACTCCACCACAATTCTTGTTGGTGAATATCTACACTTTTTAAGTGAGTGCAAAACGAAATTAGGTTAGTCTAATTTTATACTACATCTGCTTACTTTTATTTGTCACATATAGACTCAGTACATCTATTAAGAAAACAATAATTAAGATAATAGTTTATTGCACTATTTCTATCAATTGACGTTTAGTATTAAGTTTTTGAAAATGAATAATTAATGTTGAGAGTGAAACATGGAAAAAATAATTATTTTTTCTTGATATGATAGAAATGACAAGGAAAAGTAAAAATTTATTTTTGAAATAGTTGACAAGTAAAAATGAACCTAAGGAGTATGTATAGTATTAGATCATTAAAAATAATTTTAAGTAACTATCTATAACAAGTGAAACTAGTCGATCAAAAAACAAGACAAATAAATCTATTATAATATATTAAATTACACTGATAATGTGAAAATTATTAATTCATGTCTTTAGGGTGCATAATAATGTGAAAATTATTAATTCATGTCTTGAGGGTGCATAAGTTAGATATGCAAGCAAAAACACATAAAAATATACTAATAATGCAAGGTATATATTTTGCTTCGTGCGGACCTAATTTTTTTCATGTGTTAAACACGTGATTTTTTTTATATTTTTAGATGGCGGTGAGATTTGATCTCAGGAGCTCTGCCTATTCTGAAGTGTGTGGCCATCTCATCTAAAAGTTTTAGTTATTATAGAGAGCACAATCTTATTATCTAACTACATTCTCAACAAAAAAAAAATATTTCCCTTCATATCAAACACACCCTTAAATCTTTTTTTCCATTCTCTTTTTTTTTTTTAATTTTTTTTTCTGTTGCACGGACAGTCTTGAAATAAATAAATTTAATTTGGCCTCTGTTAATTGGTAATCAAGTTTAAACTCCAACGGCCCCCTACCTAAAACAAAAACGTTCATACTTGATACACACTCAAAACAATAAAGAAAGAAATTGGAGGATTTAAATATCAATAATTTGAAGACGACGAGCTACTTAATTGCACTAAACAGTGCAATTAATCCCAAATTTAGGAGAGGACAGGTTTTAAATAATAAAAATAGAATTGATCAACTTTTAAATAATTATTCCCATCGTCCATATTAATTGTCAATATTACTAAAAAAATTCACCTCAAAATATTTATCAATTTACAAATTTAATATAGAATTAATTTTTTTATATTACCCTTAAAATTAATTAATAAAAATATTTTTTATTTATAATTTCGAAAATATGTAAAAGAGAAATGTAACTCTTTTGAGTCTTTCTATCCCACCTTATATGACTTACATTCTTTTTTTTAGTCGGTCCCAAATAAATGACATATTTTTATATTTGGTGGCAATTAACTTTAAAATGTCATACAAATATTCTAGCCATACAAGTATTTATCACTCATTTTAGATCATAAATTTCAATTTTTTTTGTATATGTTATATCAAATCAAATTAATTCATATAAATTAATTTGGGACGAAGGGAAAGGAGTACAAAGTTTTTTTTTTTTTTTCCTGACTATGATCAGAAAAAAACAGACAGAATTAAATTAAAATAAAATAAGGGGGATTTGATTGGATAGGTAATTGGCAGTTGATCAGTTGGTTGAAATTAATGGCACATTTTCCCTATTTTGGTTCATTTTCTGTTTTTTACTACAATGTATTTATTAATATTTATTTCAAAATGTAATGCTAGGTGCCTCCATTCTTTTTTTGGATTTATGATTAAGGCGACTACTCTTACAAATTGTTGGCTTGTGCACTTATAGTTGTATTAGAAATAAATATTTCTAATAATTTATGAACCTCCTCTTAAAAGTTAGATGAAATATTGTAAGAATCATATTCAATGCCTCCAAATTATATCGACACAAAAATTAAAATAACTTAAATTTTGGCCCAATTTTTCAAAGAAAGGACTATTAGAAAGTGTGCAGTTCAACTACCTAAATTAAGATAGATTTATGAATTGGTCTAACAAGTCCAATGGAGTTAGTTATGTGTTGTTAATGTGATGCATATATGAGAAATTAAGAGTCTAAAAGTCTAGCATGTTGTTATTGAGTGGGAACATTATGTTACAAGGGATAGACTAATCACCAAAAGAATCATTTTTTTTAAACGGTGATGACTAGGCTAGCTCGTGCATAGCTAGATTAATTTACTGAATATTTATTACTTCCAACCACTATAAGTATTAAGTAATTCTAACCATCACAACTTAAATTTATGAAACAATAAAATTACTTATAGTATTTAGTCTCTGTTGGATTTGAATCTTTAATATTTTGTTAGATTCTTATTTATTTTATTGATTGATATATCTTGCCCCTTGAGGGGAAATTACAACTCGAATGATAGTATCACGAGAATCGACAGTTAGTTTTATATTTTCATATTTTTTATTTATTTATGTTAAGAATGACAAAAATAGCCAAAGAAAATATGACTCACACAACTCGTTCAAGTATGTAGTTATTGACCTATGAAAAATTTTGTCGAAATATTTTTTGATATGTTATGAGCTATAGTAAATAAAGATTTTTTTTCCAGTGATTAACTAAATTATAAAAAAAAATCAAAATAATAATAAGTTTGAATTATGACCTATTTTTTTGCCATCTTGACTCAATTCATCTCAACATAACTAAGGTCGGGACACAATTGATCGATGCAATTTATTTGTTAAATTCACTTTAATCCATCCAAATTTTCATTTACCACCTCTAAATTATGAGGAAAAGAAAAGAAGGAACATTGGATTTTTTTTTTTTTGGTTTCCCCCAATGTTCGGTATCTACACTGGAGCCCGATTAAGTTCAAATTCGCATCCATATTGGGAGGGGGGAGGTAAAACACTTCTTAACAAAAGCAACTAGAGGAGACTCGAACTCGAGATCTCTGATTCAAAATAAATAAGTATTTACGACTCTATCAAAATCCTTATCGGTAAACATTGAATTTATAGTTTGTCCTAGTCATGGGTGTAAAGTGTAGGATGGTAGGGTTGAACCTCAGTTGCAGGGCCAGGCTCTAGACCTACCCATAAATTATGGCTTGATTGACTGTACAGTACTCCACTAGAAATGTAGTGGGTGGGGGTACCAGTCCACAAAATATAAGACCTAGAGACACATAGCCGCAACTACACATGAGTGGTTTAAACTAATTAACTACCCCTCTTACTCTTTTTTTTTCATCTTGTAAAAAAAAATCGAAATTATTAAAAGTGATGATATATATTTGATTTTCTTGGATGTTTTTATTTTAGAAATAAATAATTTGATGCATATTTATGCAGGGTTTGAGAAGGATTGCACCCCTAGAGAATTATTACTAAAAGTGATGATAGATGTTTGATTTTCTTGGATGTTTTACAAAAATAAACAATTTGATATACGTTTATAGAGAATTTGGAAAGAATCACACCCTTAAAGTACTCTCTAGCAGAAAATTTTGATTTTGTGTTCTCATAAAAAGTTTAACACGTCTTAAAATTATTTGCGAAGACATGCTTATTTCTGTAATTTTATTTGTTCTAATAATAATCTTTGATTGAGTACACTAACTGTAGAGACACGGAGAGTGAATTTGTAACAAAATGTATCCAATTCAATAGAATTTATAAAGAGGTTCTTAGGGAATTTTTAAATGTATATTTATTAGTTTAAATTCTGCTACTTTTTTTCTGATTTTCAGATAAGTAATTCTTAAATGATTAATTCATTGTGATTACTATAATTAATATTACCCCTCACCAAAAACTTTCTTCATGACTCAAACCACAATTTAAAATTAATAGTTTTCACTCATGTTAAAGAAAAAAAGGGATATGTAAGTCATTTGTGTAACAATAGGAGTATAAATAAATCACTTTTATAACGAGAGATATATCATTTTTCCAATTAAAAAAACCTTCTAAAATAAAATCATTACTACCTCCTTCTCATATTAGTTGATCACTTTTCTTTTTACGCACATATTAAAAAATAATAAATAGGAAGATAATTTTACTATTTCACCCTTTAAAAAACTTCTTGGGACTTCACAAACAAATTTGAACACTATAAAAAAAATTAATTGCAGGGTAATGCTAAATGACCAGAAAATTTTAAAAGTGTATAATATTTTTTTAATTTTAAAATAAATTGATCTTTTTCCCATATTTTAATTAAAATGTATTAAAGTTAAAAAGATAAAAATATTCAAAAAGGTAAAATAAGATAGATAAAAAACCTTTCTGGCCAAATTTTCTGGCCAAAAAGATTTTTCCTTAATTGCAAAGGTAATATAAGAAAATTTTAATGAATGCTTTCTTTATTTAGTAAGATGATCAATTAATATGAGATTAAAAATTCAGCTTCTATAATTCTATGGAAATTTCAATAAAGCCCTACAGCTTTAAAAAAAAAAAAAAGGGAGGAGAGGGGGCGGGGGGGATCCCATTTACTAATAAACATGATCAATTAAGAAGTTTGGATTTCAAAATCCATAATCTTTGACTGATGAAAAGGAGGAATAATTAATCTTTCCCTAATCAAGCTCCATTTTATTTCTATTAGACTAATAAGAAGAAGCACTTTCACATGATTTGATAGTAGAAGTTAATTAAGGAGTGATTAGGCCACATCTCTTGGGATACACAGCAGAAAGGACACAATTACTTCACTTAAACTAACTTAATTGTCAACCTTTTTACTAATACTATTTGAAACGAGAAAATCCATTCACAAGAAAGAAAGAAAAAGCCAAAACAAAAGTACCGAAGAGTTTGACCAATCAATTCTCTTTCTTTCCCCTTTTTTTCTTCTTGAGTTTAGTAACTAATTGCGTGATTAGCGGACATGGAAATTGGTAAGTCCACTAAGTTTTTTAATTAGTTAAAAATTAAATTGTCTTTGATGAAATTGAAAATGTTTGGTATAATTATTTGGACTAAAGAGTTTCTAAAGTCTTGTGGTGTTTTTATTAGACAAAAAAAAAAAATCTAGAAGGGAGAGAGTCAATCTAGGAGATAATATCGGAAAAATTAGACTATTTTTATTTTCAAGTATTCATATGGTAAAAGTAAGGGACAAATTACAGAAATCACATACTTTTAAGGTAAAATTACAATATATCCCTTAAAAGTTTATAGTTACAGAAATCCCTCAAATGAATATAATAATATAAGCGTTGATATATTAATCTGATGTGCGAGATACATTAATCGTTAAGTAAGATACATTATATTTTATACATGATACACTAATCTGATGCGCGAGATACACTAATCTGATGCGCGAAAATGAGGGATTTTGGAGATTTGTAAAACTTTTAGGGGATAATGATGATAAGTAAACTAAAAGGTGAGATTTCCGTAATTTTTTCTAAAAGTAATGTACCAAATTGATTTTCCATTTATACTTATATGAACTTATGAAACATTAATCAAGTGTCTTATTACGCGTGCATTAATACGCAAATTAAAACTTTGGTTTATTTTATAATTTTTTTACTTTTGGGTAGGGGACACTACAGGACTCTATGAGAATCAAGTCTTGCAGCTCTAGAATAATAATAGTCCGATCGAGCTATCAACTTAATTTTTTTATTTTACACATATAATAATGTTTAAAAAAATTGTTTCTAATTATAGTAAGGTGACATTTTTTTTCTAAGACGGACTAAAAAGGAAAGGATGTCATATAAAATGAGACGAAGAGAGTGAGATTTTAGTTAAGTTTTCTAATTCTATTTAATTCAACTAAAGTTAAAAATATTTTATTTTACACGTACAATAATGGAGGATTGGGTGAGGCAAGTTGCATAGCAAGAATGTCTTTTTCACTATTTAAGAGCATGTGCAGGTCGTCTTATTGAACAGAAACTCACATGCAAGGTCACCATTAGAGGTTCACATTTCCTTAACTCAAATGCAAACTATCATATCCATACAAACGAGACTGCCACGATAAATTTGGAGGCCTGAAGTCAAACTTCACAGAGAGATTTTGGTTTTTTAATTATCATATATAAATTGAATTATTATAACGTACAATATTTAATGTTATTGGTTGCCTTCAAGGCTTCAATTAATGTTCACTTGTATCTGTCTATTTCAACACTATTAAGCTAGAAACCGTGTCTTGTTTTCTTGATTAATTGGATTAATATTATATTCATATCATATCCTTCATGAATAATTAATCGTTAAATGTCTAATCTTATACCATTGCTAATTGGATGCTCAAACTATTTCACCTAGGAATCCAAATTTTTTTTATACAATTATGAGTTATTAATGTCTTGCATTGTTCTTAAATTATTGAATCTTACTGTGTACCATATCTATCGACAGGGCGAGGAGAAAACAACTTATTGGGAATAGCGCTCCAAACCAAAGTTGCCTTCCATCTCACATGTAGAAATTAGTTGACATCCATACCTATTCATGATGGGTGGAGCCAGCAGGGTCGAGTTCATGGGTTCGACAAACTTAGTAGATGTATTTGTATTAGAAAATTAAATAAATATATATGTATATTAACTTGTGAATTCCCTAACAAAATTGATTGACAGCTCAGTAAGAAAGGGGTTGTGGAAATGTTTTCCACAGTAGTGCTATGCCAGGGCATCATTAGCATAAGGAGTTCATCCAAACCTCTTCGTTGAAAAATTACTATATATAATAAGGTCAAATTATATGTAGTAGATGTTGAATCCCTTTTTTTTTTTTTCCTTTCATTACCTTTTTATATTTTGAAACAATCCTGACTCCTCAACGGATGATATCAAATAGGAATGATCATTACAAAGGAACATAAATTTGCATAATCAAATGGATTTGAATGTAAAAATGGAACTCTTTGCCAATTTGCCTGCTTTTCTTCAACTTTTCAGCTCCTCCCTTTTCTTTATTAGGTAATTTTCATTTGCTTATTCAGCCAAGTGAAAGTGTTGCTTCTCATTAATGTATGAAAATTTTGGAACATCAAGGATGTTATTTTAACCATTAATATGAAAAAGAAACATACAACTTTCAATTAGGTAAATAAACATCTGATTTATTCAATTAGGATAAACATATTTCCTCTAATTCTACCTTCACAAGGTAGTAATAAGGTTGCGTAAATGGAGTATATTGTTATTCAAGAATCTACTTCATGATATTGAGATAAGGGTTACGAAAGATAAATAAGAGTGCCAAGATATTAGGTAAAATAGCTAGAACAAAAATGTTCCCTTCCTTGCTAAAGATTCTGCTTTTAAACCTTTTCCTCACAAACTGTCTCCTTTCTTCATCTCCCCATTTAGCTTCCTCCACTCCCTTCGCCAGTATCAATGGAGGGGGTTGTTGATATGGGCATTTGGACCTCCAAGAAGTTTCAGGTGCACCAAATCTTGAAATCCATTTCAGGTAAAATGAGAAAGCCCATTTCAGATATACTGAAGGGGAGGTGATTTTGGTGCACAGAATTGGGGGATAGTCCCAATTGAGGTAACAGGGGATTTGGTTAGAAATGAAGATTTGGGATTCAAAAGATGGTTTAGTTGTGGGATTAAGTATGATGTGTGTTAATGCTTGGATTCTTTGTTTCCATGTTGTATCTTCCATTTTTTTTCCTGTTATCTTGTTTTAGCATAGTGTTATCCTTAGGTTGGATGAGAATAAAAAAATGTGGATGTGGGAGAAAGAGCAAGTGGTGTTTTTTGGAATAATTTCAGTTTGACCCTTATAGGTTATGAATATTGCAAAGTTGACCCTCCTGAGTATTGAATGTATAAATTTTGGATTGGCTTCTTGTAATATCAGGAAAATAAAGAAGAAAAACCATTGAATTATGGTAAAAATGTATCTGCATTGAGTATTTACACTATACCAATATACATGCACGTAGAAAAGGCAGAAACATACAATTAGCTCATGTGTTGGAATCAACATTTCATTAGCATTATCATGCAATCTTGTTAGGAAGAGCATATGAAAATCAGCAGTTACATTCACGGAACCTGGTATATAGACCTTAGTTGCTGACGATTAAAGTCATTGTACTTCTCCACATCCATAGATTAACTATTACCAAGACTAATCATAAGGTGAAATGGAATTTCTAGAGGTGGATTATATACAAAATTTTACAAGAGATCAACAATTTCACATGGTGATGATTTGTTTCTTTTCATGCATATTTTCGCTGCCGTGTGCTAATGATTTGGTAAATCAATAGTTGCTCCGCGGGCCTAGCTTAAGTGTGAGAAGAGAAACATGAATGCACTTAAAACTGGAAACACGATCAGAGCTGAGGCCTGCGACAAAACAGATTTCCATAAACGAGGACAGAAGTTAGAGAATTATATATTGACATGCAAAGAGAAATAGAATTCACAAACTCGGCAGCATCTAGATTCTTACTACTAAGAACACCACTTCTTCATTAGCTAAAGCCGTAGGGAATTCGTTCCTTTCTATTTCCTGCTTTACAAACCTCTGCAGCTGCATAGTACGGAAGTTATCAGATCAATGTTCTGAGGATGTACAACCAATAACAACTTAATAATCAGGGTGAAGTTTCCCATTTTCCAGTTGCTAACTTGAATATCATATCAATATGTGTGTGTGTGGTGGGTGGGAGGAGCACGCACACACACATATTGTAAAAAATCAGTATTACATTAATAATAAACCAAGTAGCGAAGGTGATAATTATACAAAAGTGGTACCTCCATGTACACTAAGCTCCGGAAAGTCTAGGTCATCTATACAAGTATGTATATCCATCTTACCCCAAAAGTACAGAAGAATTAAAAGATTGTAGCGGACCCTACTTCAAACATACTCCAGTTACCAACTTAAATGTCAAACACAAATACTTATCCTGATATTGCTCATTCAAGTGATTAACCAGCACAACACCACTAATTAATCCCACCCTCCTAATTAAGGAAATTTGAGTACCTTGTAATGGTATTGTTTTGCAGATGAAAATGCCCCCTGCAAGTGATGCAACGCTTGAGCCCAGTAGGAATTAGGATCAGCCGCACTGTATGATCCATATGGATGCAGAACTCCTTTCAACGTTTCAAGGTGGTGGCCGAAAACGTTTTTGATGAACTGGAGACATAGAGTGTTAGTGACTTAGTTCTCTTCATAGATAATGTCAAGAGTAATCATGGCCATCTGTATATACGATGTTCCAAAGGAGTTGGCAAGCTAGGAAAATTCTATGACTTCCAGTACCTTGACAAATGGACATTTACTGAACGTTACTTGCCTTTTGACCTTTTGTGTTCTCATCTGACAATATAACATTCTGATTTAGCTTTGGCTGCAACTTTATTATAGTTTTAATGGTAAATTCAAGCCAAGGTGTAAACTAGAGGATACCTCTGCCATTTGAACAGCTTGTTCAAGTCGTTGTATCTGAATCCATTTTTCAGATATAACTTCAGCCATCTGTCAACCAAGTTAAGAGTTCATCAATGAAAGATTGCGGAAATCATAATACTCAAACGGAAATTTTTTTCCTCATCTCTTGCCTAAAAATAAATGCATAGCAGGATACCTTTTCATTTGTTCAGAAAAGAAGTGAACAAAAACCTTTCAAGAGGACAAAGTATACTGTGCTCTTCTACCATTTCTTTTCTTTGAATGCTATAAATTTCCTTTATAATGATATAGTGTATATTGATAGTCACAACACTACCAATTTTAGACGTTTTTAATTGTTGATCAAAATGGAGAAAGACGTTATTGCTGTTGACATCTTGTTATCCATTAAGTCCTATTTCTGTTTCCTGTGTATGAAATAAGATCATTTGTTCACCCAAGAGCTTAGCTCAAGTGGAAAGAGCGGAATGCGTGATGTGTGAGTTAGGCGCGCATCATAGGTTTGAACTGTGCCCCTGACAGAAATCTAGTACTTATGTGGCGAAGAGTAGAGGGGAAGTCCCATCATCCACCGAGTTTCAAACTGTGCTTCATGGGTCTTCGTAGATTTCTAGGTTATATTAATAAAAAGAAGATGATTTTTTTCAACTGAAAAGAAATCTTAAGCGTCGTGCTACCTAGTATACAATAAAGATGTTTCAAAACACTTCTACAGAAATCTCATTCTCAGGATGATGAAAGAATACTCAACAGTTAAAATAATTTACTTTCTTCCACTTGACCAGCACTAGAAAATAATTAATTACTGAAGTTGTTTACTCATGGCATTAGCAAACCTACCTTTTCGACTTGAGAGGTAAGAACTTCTAATCTTTTCTCCGCATCTTGCGCTTTGAACTCCAATTTATGAATTTCAAAGTTGTTTTTTCTTGCCGCATCCCAAAGCAGTTGTACCTACTCAATTCCTTCATTTTTATAAGATGAGAAACTGTATGGAGAAAAAAATATGTGATAGTGACAATCATACCTCTTCTTCTAGAGCACTAATCCTTGATGAGTGATGCTGAAGAAAAGAGAAATAGAAACATTTATGAGGAATGGATGTGTATCATTTATTTCCATTTTCTCTTATTGAAACGAATTTCACTTATAGGTTGTTGTATCAATTACAGACGCTCTAGTAATATTTAGCACAATACCCATGAAAGCATGCCCATTACCTACTTAAGGCCAGATAATATTAGGTCATCAAATGAAAGATCAAAGCAAGAAATTAGAATCATTACAGCTGCAAAGCTGTTTTTGGAATCATATTCAATAAAATGACAGAAAATTGAAGACCACCTCTTTTATGTACAAACATGTGAATCACTAATGGACCACGGGTTCACAAACTGATAAGCAACAACAAAGCCACACGACCTTAATAGTCCCAGAACTTTCCATTTTTAGTAATCAAATTATCAGAATCACACAAGGAAATTAGGGCAATACTGTTTAGGTTATTAGCATAACATATCAAAATATGTCTGGCATTATTAAGTTGATAAAAGGGAGATTATCTAACGTTTTTTTTTTTTTTAGCTATTTCGAGGCATTGGTGCTCTTTTCAATGAACATCTTCCCTTAAAAATAGAAAACATTCTGCAAACCTAACCAAATGAAACAAAACATTTGGCAAAGTAGGTTGGAGGTATAACTTTTCTGGTGGTATGCCATAGCTGCTTCCCATACCAAGTTTATTTGAAATACTTAAGACCTTAGACCACAAGGTCCTGGTCAGTCCCTTCCATTACTGTCACTAAATATCAACATATTACACCTCAAGTCCTCAACTTAGATCCTACTCATAATAACACAAGATCTAAGTCAGATATTAGCAGACATGAGAGACTGGAAACTAGCCAAAAACCAACCTGCAATTTGGACAAAGCAGTTGTAAGATTGTCAATTTCTACACTAATGTCCTCAATTTTCTTCTCGGTTTCTCTGATGTATTGGATTTTAGCATTTAAATTCGGCATGCTTTCATCAAGGATGGATTCTGCAATTAGATGCACCAATGTTAAAATTTTCCAGGACCTTGTAGAATAATAAATAGCGGGCGAAGATATAGTATACTTCTCATGAAAAATGCCACTGAATGGATATCTTTATCTAATGCATGAGAAGACCTAGAACTGCACGGTATAAAACTCATTGTATTGATATCACAGAATTCTGAAAAACACACGTATTAAAAAGTGGATAGATACGATCATCTAAACACAAGCTTAATTCGAACACAGGCCCTTCATTCATGCTGGAAGCTCCATTAGGGACACAAAATAAAAAAATATATAGAAATCTGACTTCGCAATGCAATGCAAACTTAATAGGAAAGGAAAAGAAAAGAAATACTAACATTTTTCAATACGATGTCTCAATAAGGCTTCTTAGCATGCCAGAAATTTTTACGGTAACAGGACATTAAAAACTCCCTTGTTCAATTGAGTATGACTAATATCAAGTTATTCAAGCTTTATACATGTTACCTTCATGCTGGTCTCTTATGTATTATGTATAGTGACAAGCTTATAATCACATATTCCAATCATACAAGATAACCCAGTCAAATCTTTCCCCACTGATCAATAGTTAAAAATAAGGAGGGGATAAAAGAGCCTGTCTACGAAATGAAGCACTCATATCAACCAGTTTTTAATGAAAAATTTACTGAAATCCTCATAATCCATGAGCAGAAATATGATTTTGGGCTATCCCTTCTTCTAGCAATAAACCTATGCATAGTAGTCACTTCAATCAAAAAATTAGTAATAGCTATAGTCAGATTCCATTCTAAAGATACATTTTTTTGCCCTTCTACAGCTGCTCGCAGTTAAAACTGTCCTTTCCAAGTTATCTTTCTCAATATCATATACAATTCCAGTTCCTACAATACCCGCAATAACCACACGACTTGGTTCAAATCCAAATTCACTTCTCTCACTCTATCTGTGCCTACAATTTCATGAAAATGCAGTTCTTTTAAGAACGTGTGTTCGAGTAATTATGCATTTACTTGTATTTCTATGCACTTAAATAAACCGCAAGAAATGTAAGCATTGACCATTGAGCTATATCAAGTTCGAAAATCTCAATAGAGAAAACAATGATTGATGAGGAGAGGAATAAGGAAATAACCTAATCGAGCGATTTTGATCTTCGCTTCTTGCAATTCGTAGATCATCGAATTCTGATT